AAGGACAGAAATTTCACAATGTCTCTGCACCCCCTGTTTCAGTGTTTGGCCATGCCCATTCTGCAGAATTTTCTCTTTACATCTAACAGGATTTTTTTCTTGCTGCTGTTTGTGCCTATTGTCTCTAAATTTTGTTGTAAACTTTCAAGAAGAGTTTGGCTGTCTACCTCTCCCCATTAGGTACTTGCAGACAGCTGTAGGACCTCCCTGGAGCCTTCTCTTCTCCGAGCTAAGCTATTTTCTCAGCCTTTCCTTGTGCATCATATGCTTCATCCCCCTCGTTTTGCTGTCTCTCCACTGAACTCACTCCAGGTTATCAGTGTCTGTGCTGGGGAGTCCAAAAGTAGACACAGTATCCAGATGTAATCTCACTAACTGCCTCACAGTGGGGAAGAACCTCTTCCCTTGACCCCCTGGCCGATGCAGCCAAGCATGCAGTCAGCCCTTTTCACTGCTAGAGTACACTGCTTGTTCATATTCAACTTGTCTGTCGAGTTCTTTCCTGCAAAGCTGCTTTGCAGGCAGGCAGGACCCAGCTTGTCCCGCAGCACGGGGTTGTTCTGTGCCAGGTACGGCACTCTGCCTTTGCTGAACTTCCAGGGGATCCTGACAACCTGCTGCTGAGGTCTTTGGGAGTGGCAGCTGCTTCCCCAGCTTGATGTCATCAGACAGCTTCCTGAGGATTCACCTTGTCCAGGTCAGTAGGAGATAAACCAGCATCAGTTCTGCTACTGAGTGCTGAGGGATGCTGCTAGTAACCAGCTGCACCTCGTACTGCTGGTCGCAGCCCTTGGAGCCTGGCAGTTCAGCCGCTTTTCCACCCACAGTATAGTCCACCTGTCCCAAGAAGGCAAAAGCCTTCCTGAGGTGAAGGTGCCTGTTGCCTTACCCTGGGCCCCAGAGCCATTCCATCACAAAGGCAAGGAAGTTGGCCAGGCCCAGTTTGTTTTTGGTAAATCTGTGCTAACTATTCCCAGTCATTTTGTCCTTGGTGTATGTGGACATGGCAAACACAGGAGGGCTTACTCCATAATCTTTTTGGAGGCTGAGGTCCACAGTTCTTTTTTCTTGCCCTTTGTGAAGGTACCTATGATATTCACCTTTTTCCAGTCATCAGGAACGTCTCCTGGCACAGAAGAGCAGCTTTGCAGTCATGTTGGCTCCTACAGATACACCCCACATGGCCCCATGGACTTGAAAATGCCCAGTTTGCTTCAGTGCTCTCCAACTCAATCTTCTGCAGTGTGGGTGAGGCTCCATGGCCCCAGACTCTGCCGTTTGGTACGTGGAGGCCAAGAACAGACCATGCCAGGAAAGACCAAGGCAGACAAGCCATCAAGTCCCTTCACCTTTTCCCTGTCCTTTGTCACTACGTCCCCTATTTTGTTCTCCACTGGGTCCACATTTTCCTTTGCCTCCCTTTTGCTGCTGATGTACCTGTAGAAGCCCTTCTTGAATCTTCTGGTGATGAGAAATGAACCTGTGCGTTGGTGGATTATGTTGCTGTTCTTGTTATTGTCTCGTCTACATCTGTTTTCCCTGGCATCTAAGTTAAAAAAGCTAATTTTGTCGAGTCGCAGCAGCTGCCACTTTCCACCGCAGTAAATTAAGCTTCCAGAAGACCTCATCTTTGGAATTACAGTTCTGATCATAATGTGGATTTTAATAGTCAATTGAGATGCTTATTGAATTATAACACTGTGCATTAAGACTGTTCCTGTACTGCTGGAGAAATCTCAGTCGTTTAGTTTTTATTAGTTTTGTGATTTAATGAACAGAAAACATTAAAACTAAAAGCCAAATGCAAAACAGCTGTATAAAAATGTTCCATAAAATTCCGGAAACTGACAGACATAGCTGTAAAAATACTTTGCAAAGACACAGCCCCTCCTAAATGCTATTAATTTTAATAAAAATATGAATGCCACCATCCGTTTTCTTAACAATCTCCCCCTTGTTTCTTTTCACAGGTTCATGAGATTTGGTCTGTACTTCAGTGAAGCTTATCAATGCATTTGAAAATTATTCACTCTGGAGTGTTTTGGGTTTGTGGTTTTTTATATAAAAATCAGAGAAAGATGCAAAGGACAGGGTTTTTCATGTGTGTCCACGCAGTTCTGTTTTTAGGGGGAGAGTACAAACAAAGGGCAGTCACCTCAACCACCCACTCCTCCGTGCCAAGGTGGGTGAGGTATCCCCTGAATCATTTTGGGGTGTGATAACACGGTGGCCCAGTGACAGTCACTGCACAAGCCAGTATTACTGGGTATTATCAGTAGTGTTATAAGGATCACCAGTGAAGCAGTAAGCAAAAAAGAATAATTGTATTCAATGCAGAGAGAGATTAGTTTTTTGAGGCTCTTCCTATTTAAAAGCGCATATATACGTGTATGTAAGCATATATTATGTATCTATAAAAGGATCTTAGTTCTCAAACTAAATCAGGACAGCAGAATCACTGACTACATATTCTTTTTGTTTATTTTTTCAAGTATGAAAGACACTTTTGCATAAGATGCTGTCAAACACATACAGTGGAAGAAATATCTGCATTGCAAATAGGTCTGTGTCAGACTGATGTGTGTAGTATTGTTCTGCTTTATCTTTTTGATAGGACTCTTACCTGAATTTTGAAACAGATGAAGATTTATTGGGGTTCCTGTTTCAGTGAAGGCAATTGCAGCATATATCTGAAATATAAATAGACCTTTCAGTGCAGTTATAATTAGGGCTTCAATAATAAAACAGTTACTGTAGTTGCTTTCTTTTTTTCTTTCTTTCCCTTCCTCCTCACTTGAATATGAGAGACTTTTATTAACTTTTTGTTTACCTATGACTAGGAGTTTTCCTATAGCTCAGGAGTCAAAGGTCTGATTTCGTTGGCAATGAAGGTCTGGGTGCTGTCACTGCTGCTGCTTGTTGTCCCTTCGTGGTGCCCACAGGCTTGTCTCTGACTACACAAAATAGTTTTGAGAGGCTTTTTTTCTGTGTTCCTAACCATGTTTGTCCCACTTTTTTGAACAGCCCATGCTTTCTTGTAGCCGGCAAGACGAATGACTAACTGCACCGAGTGTACGTGGAGCCACTGACCATGAGAGCCTTAAACAAGAATGCCCCCAGTCCATGGAGTATGTAAAACCTGCTGAGGTACTGCTTTACTTAATTTACTGGGAGTTTTGCCACTGAGTTTTAAAGGAAATCAGCTTTTAGGACACAGGTTAAGTTCAGAAGCACTTCCTATCCCTGCCTTGGCTTCTGTTTATCTGTAGCCCTAACATGAAGCTTAGAATATTGACAGCTGAGGTTTTGGTCCATCAACACGTCACCTCAGATTCCAGCAAAACCTGTTGCAAAATGGCGTTGAGCTTCCTAAAGGAGCTGTGACACAGAGTTTTGTTGCACACCCTATCATCGCGAGACCTGGAGCAGCCAGGTGACTTCCTCTTGATGGTGCGTCTTTGGGAGCAGAGCCTGGCTGAGCTGGGCTGCTCATGCCGAATGGGTTTATCAACAAACTGGGCAGGTGTGGAGATCTGTTTGGATAAGTTGTGTTGGCAAAATAACACAAATTCTTAGCATAACTTCTTTCCTGTCCTGATGCTGCTATCCAGCTTGTGTTATTACCGTGTATTTGTTACTGGGTTCACTGTCCTCAGTTTACCACTCCTCTCTACTCTCCCTGCTCTTTCCTCTAGATCCCCAACTTTTCCATCTCCTGGGTGAGCAGGTGGGAGAGCAGCCTGCAAGGCTGGACCTGGAGCAGGGAGCACACTGCCTTCCTCCCACCTTTGTCCTCCTCAGAGCTCTTACTTCTGTCCCCACCCCTCTGCTCTGTCCTGGTCAGAGACAATCCCTTTGGCCCACGGAAAGAGGAAAGATGAAGGACAGCAAATTCCAGCCGGAGACACGCCACCTTCCAGCAGCATCCGCTTCACAGCATAGGGCTTGAAGATGAACGGATTGTCACACCAGTGGCACAGGCTGGTTTGTCCTGTGACATGGGGGGCCTGAAGTCCACTTTGCAGGAGCAGTGAGGCTCTGTGGTGCAGTGGCAACAGGGGACATGTGCAAAGATGATGAAAATCATCTTCTGAACTGTGCTGTGGGTCTTGGTGATGAGGCTGGTTTCGATCCCTTAATATTCTCCTCGAACGTGTTGATGCACTCGTGCATTAAGGCAGATGAGAGTGTGCTAAGGACAGTGTATATTGAATGTGCCGCTTTTAAATGTATCCCAGCTCCAGAGGAATACCAAGCCTTTGCAGCTTATTTTTTGCAACCTCTATTTGCAGCTGCCCATTTTTTACACTTAGTCCCCCTCTCCCTACCCCAGGTTTTCCCCTCCATGCTTTTTTTAACTCCCCTCCCACCTCCCCAGGTGCTTTGCTGTGACTCCTTTTGCATCTTCCCCTCTTTTCTTACTCAGAGCTGTCCCAGAAGGCTGGGGAGAAAGGCCACCCAGCAGTCTGCAGACACCCCACATCTCTGTCAGGGCAAATGCAGGACTTGGAAAACATGCTCTGCCACCACTGCAGGGCACCAGTGGGGCCATAAAAATCTCTCCAAACTGATTCATGGAGGAATGAGGCAAGCTCTGACAGTCTCCTGAGACAGAGGAGAGAAGAAAAATATCCCTGCTGGCCTCGGCTGGGGTCTGTGCCCGAGAGCGCCAGGCACAGCACAGAGCACAGGGCTGATGAAACCCTTCCAGCTCAGTCACTGCTGGCGGAGAAGCGGAAAAACACGGGCAGGAGAGGACGTGCAAAAGCACGCGATGAGCTTTCCCCACGTACATCCCAGCCTCCAGCAGGCCCTCCCATTGTGCAAACCCTGCCAGCCCTTGGCTCCCGGCAGGGTTTCTGTGGCCTTTCTGAGCATGCACGGCTGCTGACGCATGTGCGGCCGAGGCAAAGGCCGCAGACGCCAACGGGCCCCGCTCCTCCCTGGCTATGTTTACAGGGTCAGGCTGGGGACCGAGCGCTCTGTCCTCCCGGGGCACGATGGAGCAGCTCCGGAAGCAGTCGGGGCCGGCAGCTCGGCTGGATGCCATCCTCCGGCACCT